TAGTAGCGCTAGCTTTAGCTAACGTTAGCCAACGAAACGAACTGCCGAGTAAAATTGGAAAACACTGGTAATTAATTATTCTATAATTTGTAAAACTACGGTGTTAAAAACGACAATTTCAAAAATACAGATTCTAATGGTCAGATATAGATATACAGATACTAAAGATAGGCAGGTACTTGCTTTTAAGCAGAACACAGGGGGAAACAAACTTAGCGGGAGTGTTTACGTGTTCGGCGTAATGACGTAAAACGGCCTCGACAATTTCTGTAGTCCTATTCAGCCATTCGGTAACAACCATCGTTTTTCAGACACGTAAACTCTTCAAAAATCCCCAGTGGGGTCACTGCTGATGTATTTAATGTCGTAGAACAAAACGTCAATTACCTCTTAAATTTGTGTCAACCACAGACCTTATTTCGAGCTATTTTCCAAAACCCTATGGAAAAAATGCATTGCTTTTTGAGGAAGGAACCGGAAGTGCTAAAAATGCTAACTTACTTCCGGGTTTTACGACGCGTCACTGCGGCTCTCTATTGGAACGAGTTCTTATTATATATCCATGATCCACCCACAAAGGTGTTTTGAGTTTGGAGGATTTAGAACGTCTTCTTCAGTGGTGTTTGGGACATTTGACTACACACAACTCAGCCTGAGAAGCACTGTAATCAGCCAGAATAACTCAAAACATGTGCGGGTGTGCAGAGCCTGGTTATTCACAGCTAACATGCTAACATTTACACATGGTAGAGGATGGATCAAACTGATCCATATGATGACAAAGATCTCTTTGGGTGAGTTTGGTTTGGGTAAAGATTTGTTTTTTGTTTTGGGCCCAACTCCATCTGCTGTTGAGGACCATGTGATATTGGTTGAGCGCTAGAGAAAAAACTAAGATGCATTGTTTTACCAAACTGCTTTTTCTATATGGCAGATAGTGTCGTTTCATTCCATCTGTAATTAGCATAATACAAAACTAATTATAGCAGTTTTTGTTAGAAAAGGAAAAGAACGCATCAGATGCATGTCTATTTTAATATTTATTGAATCTACAAATTAAGAAAAATGACAACGAAAATGAAAACAAGTACGTACATTATAAAGTGAAAACATGCCCGTTACACATCCTGCCTCCCCTCACACCTGGTTGATATTCAGGAGCTCCAGCAGCCGCTTCAATACGTGTCAAGATTAGCTCGCTCCCCTGGGTCGGCCAATCACGGTTCACGGTACATGACTTGCCAAACTGAATCACCCAATCCTGAGCGAGAGAAGAGCCGGAGCGATGAGACAACACTTGGTGTCTGATGTTTGTGTGTGTGTTTGTGTGTTTAGCTTCCTGTTAGTATTTTGTGCATCTGTTTTCAAGATATTGGATATGTTTTGTTTTTTTCTCAATATTTGCATGAATGTATCTTTCTCTGTGCATTTATGAGTTTGAGTTTTTGTGTGTATTTCCTGGCTTGCATTAGATTTTTTTCTACACGTGTGATAACGTGTGTGTGTGTGTGTGTGTGGCCCGTATCTTCCGTGCCGCTGTCTGCCTACAGATGGGATGTGTCACATGCTGAGTGGACAGNGTGTTAACACATGAATGCATGCATGTGTGTGTATCTGTGTTTGTGTGTGTGTGTGTGCGTGTGTGTGTGTGTGTGTGTAGCCCGTATCTTCCGTGCCGCTGTCTGCCTACAGATGGGATGTGTCACATGCTGAGTGGACAGGCATATTGAAGCAGGGGAGGGGACAGATGGGGGGGGATAAACGGGATCGGGAGGGGGGGTGTGTGGGGGAAGAGATGTGGTGGTCATTTTAACATGACTCAGCGTTCCTCTGACCTTCCCCATACGACTGATGTCTGATGTAGCCGCAGGAGGTCCGCTTCAAAAGCTGTTATGAATATTCAATGTTTCCTCTCTCCTTCCTCCACCAGGCAATCCATCATTCATAAACACGCCTTCACACCCTGCTGGAGGGTGTGTGACTCCCCGTGTGTGTTTCCTATTTTTGCCAAATGTGCGCATCGGAAGTCAATGTGAAATATTCCCTTGCAGGGATTTTAAATATTCAGATCATTCCAGTGTATAATAATTTGTTTGCTATTTCTGCCACGTCAGGCTGGTAAATCCAGATTTACCCGCTTATGTTGACAATACAAATGTAACTTCTGCGATTTAAGAACATTGCGTCAAAGCATTCTATACAAAAAATCAAAACCCACTGTTTTAAGTCTTCACTCTTTGATTTTTATATTTAGTTGGGTAGCTAAATGTCAGAAATGCATCATGGTTAGCTTGTTTTTCTTATCTTGAAAGTCAAATTGTGAAAGTGTAAAAAAAAGTCCACTGTGTTCTTTTGAAATGTAATAGCAAGGAAAAGCACAAAGAAACAATTGTAAATATCGAATTAAGCTAACAATGTTTTACATCAGTGGTTAACTAATTGTAAAGTTAGTTAGTAAATTTAAGTATACAGATATCTTTTGTTTTTCGTAGATAAAATTCGAACTGCATACTGACACTAATTGTTTATTTTACTTGTCCTTCTTTTAGATTCCTACCTGCAGTAAAGGAAGCTGAAGATAAAACATCCCAGCATGCATTCTGACTTCTGGGTATGTGTCTTAAATATCTTATTAGGTAGCTAAATCTAACTGGGAGGAAATATGCTAACGGCAGTAAAATATAAATGTGTGTGGACTTCCTTTATGTCTTCAGGGGTCCATTTGTCAGCAGTATAACAGCATGTGCTTACAAAAGTACCTGTGTGCAAGTTTGTGTGAGTGTGTTAGTGCTGTATTTGCATTCTCTCTCATTGCACTAAGCGCTGAGCTGATATATTAGCTCAGTAAATCTTTGTACACCTTTTAGGTAAATCAGTCGTCTCATCACAGTAAACAGGAGAGCAGAAAGTGAACACACACAGCTGCTGCTATCTCTGGTTGTTCAAGACAAAATAAGACCATTTCAAACACAATAACACTAGTAATCTGTACTCAAACTGAAAAAGGAACCGTCTTTCCCTCGGTTATTTAATTCCAGCTGCTCTTTAAACTGTATCTGCAGACAGAAGGTCAATATTTGCAATTTGAACCCATTTTCAAGCTGTTTTTACCTCTGGGAAGGTAAAATTGGATGTTTTGTCATGTCTGGGGAGAGGCGTAATACTTTAAGGCATTGGATGTAGTTTTCCTCTCGGACGCTGTTTTACTGTTAAAAGCTGATTTTCATTGATATGATCAAGAAAAAATTCAAAAGCACTATATGGGTACCCTTATCATTATCATTATATTACCCTAATATCAGCGTCACCTAGACAGTTTTTTAGGTCAGTTAAAGATGAAACATTTATAATTTGTCTAAAGGTAAACCAGACTTTTTTTCTGCACAAGTTTAAAAAAAAATACGAATCATGAAAAATGATATCAACTTAATATTTAAGGTTTAAATCAAGCAGTTATTTCCTTGAAAATACTTTTCTTCTTGTTTAAGCACTACCAAATCAATATGTAATCTTTTCCTTTAAACCCAATGAAAATGACGGGGGCTAGCTTTTGTGTTGCCTTTACCAATTTGCAGATAATCACCATAACCAACACACAGCCACAGCCATATTATGACCAAATGATAGGGCATGTAAGCAAACAACTCCCCTCTTTCACATCCAGCAGATCAACAATTTGACAAAGGTGAAATAAGGTGCAACCAAGAAAAACAGCCAAAGATAATCTGATGTTTAAAGGCTGACAGAATGGATGTTTCTATTGGAATAAAGACACACACACAGTGACAGTGAAGCACATATTCACTGATTTCAAATGAAACAAAACTCAACGTGGGCCCAGCGTTAGTGGACAGCAGGCGAAGAAGAAGCTGAATCATGTTCCGGGTCATGTGACGAGAGTGGACACGGCTGTCAGGGCTCGTGTGTGTTATAGTTTAGAGCAGGGGTGGTGTTTTTTATTTTTTGCAGGCACATGTGTGGTCTCTAAGAGTCTGTACAGAGTTTGTGTTCGTGTGTGTTTGTAACAGAGATGAGTTTGTTGTTTATGCATGTGTCTATAAATGTGACATGGAAATGACTCTGTGTCTGAGAATGTATGTTTTTTATTACCGTCTGTTCATCTGTTTTTGCAGTGTGTGTTGAAGTTTTTTAAATTTTTGTGTGTGTGTGTGTGTGTGTGACACAGATCGTTCCTGACAGCATGCAGAGAGCTGGCACACGGCTGTCCTCTCCTCCACCCACAGTCCTGTCTCACACGGTAAACGCATCCTCACTTTACGTCTGTTTTCCCCAATGAGACTCAGGACGACTGCTCAGACACACACACTTCTACACACACACACACAAATAGAGACACACACAGTTCAGATGGTGCAGAGCCAAACAGAGAACCTGGAACGAAGTGACAGAGTGTGGACCGTAAACTGTCCTGTTCAATTCCCACATCACCGTCACAGCGGGACCATTGCTCTAATGGGGGAAGGCATCTCCGGTGAAAAACAGAACCCAAAACACCTCCTAAAGTTCGACTTGATTTTGGATTGGAGAAAGATGGAGTGTCAGTGGTGTATTAGGACATGTTCCAAACTGTAAGGCATATCTGGACGACATTGTTGTCTATTCTAATGACTGGTCTAGCCACATGTCTACCTTAAGAGAAGTTTTTAAATGCTTGTCGGCCGCATCCCTAACGCTTAACCTTGCCAAATGTGAGTTTGGAAAAGGTACCGTTCTCTACCTTGGTCAGCAGGTTGGTCGAGGGCAGGTGTGCCCTGCTGATGCAAAGATCAGGGCAATTGCCTCCATCCCAGTGCCATCCACCAGGAGGGAACTTCGCCGCTTCTTAGGAATGGCAGGGTACTATCGCCGTTTCTGCGAAATGGTGCGTAGAGCGGAATATGAATACAAACTGCAGATTCGCAAGTTAGAGATAGAAGCTGAGAAAGAAATCACGTTAAAGCGGCTTGAAGTTGATGCCCTGAGAATCTCTTCAGAGCAGACATTTGAGAGGTCAATACCTTCGCATACAGTCTCTCATACAAAAAGTTTTGATGTTAGTAAAAATATTGCTTTGGTGCCAACTTTTAGAGAGTCAGAAGTTGACTCATATTTTTGTGCTTTTGAGAGGAATGCTACCGCACTAGTCTGGCCTAAAGACATGTGGCCAATCCTACTGCTTAGTGAGGACGTAACAAATGGGGTGTTGACGCAGCACTTTTACACGTGATAGGGCAAAGATGGATTTTTCTGTCATCAATTTACACCAAATGTATAAGGCCTCCGTCAATTAAAAGGTACTGTTAGAGCCAGTATTTTGATTTGATAAGAAAGGCCACCTAATTGTGACGTCTGTAGTCAACGCACTATAAAGGACTACATTTCCCACGGCTTCTGTGCTAAAGCCACAGTGATGGACAACCTGTTGAGAGACGCCGTTGATGAACAGTTTTTAACCGTACGCGTACATACAAATCGTACAAGTACCCTTTAAGTTAGGAAGTTATATAAGCATTATCAAGAAAGAAAGAATACCTAAGTTGTTATTTTATTTGAGTTTTGCCTATTTCTTTTGAATATTGTAAAGGCCTATTTTCTTTGTTGCATGTGCAAAAGTTTGTTATTTTATTTTGAGCAAACACATCGCAACATCATCTAATGTCATGCCTTTGCCAGCATAATGCAGGGCTGAGTGACAGAGAGATTAATGTATTCACATTTTCATGCTGTCCCTCAGGATTGTGGGTGGGTCCGATCCTACATCAAATAACTTCATTCCCTGTTTATTATTACATCTCATAGTCCGTTTGCATGATATGTCTCCAACCCTGATAGAGGCCAAACAGTTAGTTGTCCACAGTCCCATCATGTCTCTGCAGGAAGACATTTTCTTTGTTAAATAGTGCTCCCAGCCCTGCATGCACTCTAAAGTCCGACAAACATTAAATACACTCATGAGATCTAAAAGAAAATGACCGTAGAGTGCATGCAGGGCTGGGAGCACTATTTAACAAAGAAAATGTCTTCCNCAATAAATGGATGTTTTCAAAGTCAAAGAATAATCACATTTAATAATCGCAATTACAATTATTGACCCAAATAATCGAGATTATGATTTTTGCCATAATCGAGCAGCCCTAGTTTCATTTAATATTGAATAAGATACATCTTGTCTCTGATTAATGTTTGAATATTTAACCATAGGATCTCTCCTAAACTCAACCAATTGCTCTGAGTTGCCTACCATGAAAAATGTGGTGATTCTTTAAGTGTCTTTAGCGAATATTGTGATGAAATGCGTTTAGTGTTTTGGTAATAGTTTAAGAATTAGCAATTTGCTAGACGGGTTCCTTAAAAAGTTACTTATTATATTGAAAAAAAGAAAGAACAGTCGGGACAAGATTTAATATTTGCTGCTGCAACATATTTCAATACTGTATACTTCAATAAAGAAGACACTGTCTGCAATTTGGCAATAATTATGATTTTCAAGTACTGTATGTCATTATGGTCATGCCAATAAAGCTTTTTGAATTTGTTTCCTTACAGTTACAAGGTGCTAAATCATGAAATGAAGATTTAGAAGTCATCATTTTGATCTTTCTTTAGTGAACAATTTTCTGCGACAATCTTTATCATGTAAAAAGTGTTGTGTTTATTATGCTGATACTAATGAAATCCGTCACATCTGAGTAATCCAGGTTAGCTGCTCAGCAATGTTTTATTCAAATGGTACTTTATCAAAACGTCTTGACTGTTGATCTGAGCGCTGGTTGAAGCCAGAAAAGCTTTTTATCTTTCGATCATTCGCCAGCCACAGATGTCACGGAGAGTTTTAACAGTGGAAGTTTAGCAGAGGATAAAAGGAAGGACTGTAATGCTTTGGCCTCTTCCTCCCTGATCGTTCTGCTCTTTGATCAGCACAGAATCGCTTTAATCACCGAGTACAAAGGCTGCATGCAGAACACTTGGTTAATTACGGCTGACACATCACAAGACAGTTACACAGCGCACAATGGACAGTGCAGGACAGAAGTGAATACGCTGATAAATCCTGCTGTCGGGTAGTCCAGGGGAAATTATCAAATGATATAGAAATATAATGGAAACATATGAGATCCACAAGCTTATATTAATCTTTGAATAACTTAGGATTTACATGCCAGCATTTACCGTTTAATATTCCAACATCCAGTCATATCCCTTTAATAAAATTCACTGAACTGTTTAAGATTTTTACGATTTGTCATTCTGGTTTCTGCAGAAATACATCGAGTGGATTTAATAGATTCCACAGTGCCCTTAACTTTTCCTGATTGAAACAGCATGTCTGTGAGGAAATGGAAAATGAACCTATGCAGCTACAATTAGTGGAGCACATAACCTCGCTCTGCATATCAGATTTTCACTTAAAGTTTATGGTTTCATACACCATTTCACAACAGGGGACACTCAAATGTAGCTGTATTTAATCATCTGTTTTCCCCGGTCAGATTCTGTCCACTAAAAGCACTTTATTAACATGTTCATGTTGTCGCTACGGTAAATATATGTTTACAGAGGATATGGGACACTCTTAACTCATCTTGCGTTGGGTTTAAAAACATACAAAAATTAAGATTGTCTATCTGAGGCCATACACATTTGCATTGAGGATAATTTAAACAGCTATATACACCCGGGTGTCCGTAGCTAACAATGCTATTTACACCCGGGTGTCCGTAGCTAACAATGCTATTTACACCCGGTTGTCCATAACTAACAATGCTATGACACCCGGGTGTCCGTAGCTACTGTTTTGGATGTATAGGTATTTATGGAAATGTTTCCTTGATAACTTCATTCCCTTGTGCTGCTTCGTCAAATTGTAATTCCCCTATGGTGGATGAAATGAACCATTCAGTAACATTATTCAATTAACATTTTATATAAATGTTATTTGATTGCCATATTAAAACTAGGGCACATTTTCTACTCACATTATCATTGAGTTATGCTCCTGGTTGGAGAGACCTGAGATTATCTTCGTGCAGAGTGATTCCTCCGGCACTAAAGCCAGCAGAAGGTGAAGATATCTCTGTAGATTCACTGGGCACAAGGAAAGGAAGCAACGCGTAAATGGTTTTGGGGGTGGGTGGAAATAGCCGAATAGTTGCCGTGTGTCTATTTTCACCCAGGTGCAAATAGACACTCCGTACTTATATATACTTCACTGATAAATATACCTATAATAATTACCATTATTACCAGGTAGTATAGTAACCTGGATTGGGTGTCAACATCAATATTCAATGATAGCTGCATTACTGCATACTGTACTGTATTCTGCCAGCTGCATTAAGACTTTAAGGATCCGTAATGTTTATATCGTAAGCATTCAAGGGTAGTAAACATCCCAAACAAACACTATTAGACCGAGATCTACACCACTCTGGGACGCTGCAGCTCATCTCCAGGTTAATCTGCACAGTGTCTAACACAGTTTGTTTCAAAGCAACAGCTCCATTCAGATCTTCTCTGTGTTTACTGTGTTTTCTCTTTGCAAATGTACAGGAAGAAACTCGCAGAGACACAGATATGAGTGACTCTTCTCAGGTCAGTCTGGTTTCTTATTATTGTGTACTGTTGGTGCCTGTACTCCCTCAAAATGTGTTTTGCGTGGGCTTCAACAAATACAAAAAGAGATACTCCCGTTATGCGTGAGGTCAAACAGCACCAGGAGCTGCATTATGTTTTCTCAGCTTTTTCACTGCTTCATGTTTTTTTAACAGCTGTGGTTCTGGCAACTCAAGATTAGACCCGAGAACGGACCCACTTCATTAAATTCACTTTGCAAAAGTACTTTTTCAGCTGTTACGCTCCCAGGAAATGTTTACTGAGAATTTCTGCACATGAATAACACAAGTTCCACTGGTGGAGCTCATTGACCCCATTTCAACAAAAACTGTCCCAGGGGTGTAGGGAACTCAGGAAATAAATCAGGAGCTTTGCACAAACCTTTTTGCATTTCCACTGCAGCTGAAGGACCCTGGAGATTAGGTAGTACCCAGGAAGGTGCTACTCTAGGATACAACAGGAAACACACAATTAGCCATTATTGTTTATTTTCCAGTTAACTCCACATAGGGAACAAATAGATGAGGTAACTGAAGTATCTTTGTATTGTCATTTTTAAAAGGGGCCCTATAATACACATGCTCAGGTTCATATTCATATTTTGTGCCTCTACTGTGATGTGTTTACATGCTTTATTTTTATCAT